TTTCCAGATGAGCTCTAGGTTTTAGTGAAATGTTAGCTGTCATCTAGGTCACTCTCAAACTCTTAGCACTCTCTGTTGCAGGTGTATACGGAGTTTAAAAAACCCCAACCCCAAACCAAACAAACAAAAACTCAGACATTTTCCTTCTGAAACTTGCATGTATAAGAAAAAACTGATAGAGTAATGAAAGCACCACCACCTTGAGGCCAAAATGACTTATGTCCAAATCCAGGCTTCATCACTTATTAACTTATAATGAGGAACAGTCATTTGTTGATAGGAAAAATCATTTCTACTTCCTGGGGTTGTTGGGAGGATTAAAGATCTTGATGGAAATAACTCGCCATAGTGCCTAGCACAAAGCAGCAGCTCAATCAGCAGCAGATGTGACTAATGCTCTACCTCCTCCAAATATGATTCTTACACAACTCTATAGATGATGTTTCTGATCTAATCATTAAAACTGGTCTATTAGTATACAAATAGAAGTCTCTGCATATCTAGCTTTTGTTTGACCATTTTTCGTAATCCCAAGCTACAAATAATGCCTGACTTGAAGCTTTCCTGAGAGAAACGCAGTTCTCTTCCATGGCTTAATCCAGGAAATTTTAGACGGGTAACCCCTTGTGAAGCACCATGGTGCTGATGCTAAGTAGCCCCTCAGTTCATGGCTGGTCTCCTAAATCTCCACACAGCCAGTGTGCATTACTTGAATTAACTCATTTAACATGCTTCACCACGCTGCAGGAGCATTAGAGGTCAAATATACCCAACTGTGGCTTCCTTGGGAGATTCACACGGCTGTCGCAAGAACAGAATCTTTTACGAGAAAGCTCGCTGAAAACTGTAAACTGAAACTGAAACTGAAAGCGCTCTGTAAAGTAATATTAGAATACGGGGTGGGGGGGGCGCTTCCCTGGTGGCGCAGGGGTTGAGAGTCCGCCTGCCGATGCAGGGGACGCGGGTTCGTGCCCCGGTCCGGGAAGATCCCACATGCCGCGGAGCGGCTGGGCCCGTGAGCCATGGCCGCTAAGCCTGCGCGTCCGGAGCCTGTGCTCCGCAACGGGAGAGGCCACAACGGTGAGAGGCCCGCATACCACAAAAAAAGAGAAAGAAAAAAGAAGACGGGGTATTATTATTACAACATTTCTGTGGAAATGGTTCCTAAGACCCACTCAGACATTCCATAAGGGATTATTTTGAAACCTAATTCATTTCATAAAGAACATACTTTCACATTTTCCCCTATCAATACCATTAAAAATATCATGGTTTTTGATTCGGTATATATCATTCTTTAAGCAGATTTTTTTTTTTTTTTTTTTTTTTTCGTGCCCCTGGGCCTCTCACTGCTGTTTTTTTTTTTTTTTTTTTTTTTGCAGTGCCTACTATGAGCCAGACACTCTTCAAGGTACTGGGATAGAGCAATGAAGAAACTAGAGAAAGTTTCTGCTCTCATGAAGCTTACATTCTAGAAAGGAGCCAGACCATAAATAAATACATAATGTATGAAATGGGGAGGGGCAAAGTGCTTAAGTTCGGAGAATGACGGAGACGGGGG